CCTTGATCTCTTCCTACATGTAGGCACAATTGGTGCTTTTTCCCTTGTCCGTTAGCACTTTGGTTGTAGCACGTATCATTCTGTTTTGATTATTGGCATACGTTGTGTTCTTCTCCCACTAGGCTATGAGTTCCTCTAGTGAGAGATATTGCCTGAGCTCTTCTCTGTCCCCTCAGCCACATAGTTAGTTCTATCACTTAACAGCTGCCCAGTAAGAAAGAAAACTAGATCAGGCTCCTGCTTCAGACTGGCTTTGGCTTACTTTGGATATTCAAGGGAGAAACAGGCAAGTGCCTATGTCTTTTTCCCTTTTTCTCACTTTTTCCTTTTTTGTAACTGAGGGTCAGATTGTTTGCCTTTAACTTTATGGTGTCCAAATAAGTAATTGAATTACTGTGTGGGATCTGATGCTAAATTGCTGATAAAATGTTCATTGTAGTTAATATTGTTCTTCACTAAATTATCCAAATAGACTTCTTCAATAACTGCCCGAGAACATCTTAGTGTTAGTAAAAGTAATATCAGGACAATTTTTTAATCATGTCACTTGCTTACATTAAAACTTTGCGTGGTTTCCCATTGTCGATAGCTGTGGGCTCCTAATTTTAACTATGCATTCCTTTTAATTAAAAAAAATGTAGCACAACCTCCAAATATGTGTATACCTAATTCATGTATAAATCATCTTCATATACTATTATACTAATATATTAAATACACTATAAAACATACCATAGAGTAGGAAAACTTTAATATGTGAGATAACAGAGAAGTCTTAATATTTTCTTCCTGTGTTGCAATAGTTTACCCTGTGAACCTCCTAAGTTGTACACACTCTTCTTTAGGGAAGATAAGGTACAATTTCCTTAGCTTGGCATTCAAGACCCTTCAAAATATCTTCTCAGGCCAGGCACGGTGGCTCACGCCTGTAATCCCGGCACTCTGGGAGGCGAGGCGGGAGGATCATCAAGATCAGGAGTTTGAGATCAGCCTGAGCAAGAGCAAGACCCCGTCTCTACTAAAAATAGAAAGAAATTAGCTGGACAACTAAAAATACATAGAAAAAATTAGCCGGGCATGGTGGCGCATGCCTGTAGTCCCAGCTACTCGGGAGGCTGAGGCAGGAGGATCGCTTGAGTTTGAGCTTGCAAAGCGAGGCTGACGCCACAGCACTCTAGCCCGGGCAACAGAGCTAGACTCTGTCTCCAAAAAAAAAAAGAATATCTTCTGAATCTTGAAAGAAGAGTAGTAGTTATCAAGGTGCCCGAGAAAGGTGAAAACTATTCTGGTCAATGAGAAGAACATGTCCAAAGGCATAGAGGCATGAAACTTGTGTATATGGAATACTTCCATGTCAGACCCAGCCAAGATCAGAATTCTTCAATATGACTTTAAATTTACTAGCATTTAGTTGGCAGAGAAGGACTCAGAAATTAGATACTAAGTAGATCTCAGAGAGACTGAATAATAGATAAGAAACTCAGTAATTCTTCTCTCTGAAGACACATGGAGAAAGTGAAATTGGATGGCAGGCAGTTTGTTCTAAGTCCCCCATTTGGTCTGTGTTGCACTTTCAAGAAGGAAGAGCGAGAAGCCAGGCCAGTTCTAACACTACACTCTTCTGTAGATTGGGGGAGTTCTACAGGATGTGAGATATAGCGTGGTATAATGGAAACAGAGGCACACTAGAAATCAAACACTGTGGCTTCTAGTCCCATATCCATCTGCGACTAGCTGTGTGTGATCTCGGACCAGTTTCTTTACCTCTCTGGGCCTCAATTTCTTCATCTAAAAACTGGAAATTTTAAATACCTGCCCTGATATTAAAAGAGTCAGTATAAAAATTGACAAATATGAGGTCACTTTATAAACTACCAACTATTATACAAATGTACAGATTCTTATGATTACTTACATATATATAGATAATTAGTGTCACTTTATTAGCAAGTAGAATATAGTCAAATCAAAAATAAGTTTTGCATTGCTTCTCATTGAAAAGAAGAATTCTTGGTATTCTAAACTTACCCCTCCTTTGAATCTTTACTCTGGTATCTCGATAACAGGTACTCTGAAGTCAGCCTTCTCTCATCAAGAAAACACAAGCCATCATCTTGTCTGCCAGTGGTTTTCCTGAAAATACATATTTGGTGTCTGTGTATAGTAGGCACTTCTTCCTTATTCACTTGCATCTTCTAACTCACCTCATCTTTAACTGAGAATGAGTAGAAACTTCCTTGGACATAACCAGTAGTCTTTAAGTTCCATGAGCATAAGAAATTGTAGCTATTTCACTGCTATAGATCCATCTCCAAGCCCAATACGTGACACAAAGAGCATATGCTCAACAAATAACTACTGAACAAATGAATTCAGACCAGCTTGGCGTCCAGGCCTTTCTGCCATCTCTGAGCAGAGATGTTCCCTATTAAGAGTCCTTTCACTGTCCATAGGCAGGTTCTCTACTTTGTATATATTACCTAATGTCATCTTTACAACACCCTGTGAGTATTTTATCCTAATTTTTTTAACCGCTGCTAGCATTCAGTTCATTTCCACCTCATTTTTTCTGGGTATAATATATACTTCATAGTATGCTATTGTGTGGACACACATCAATCTTCTACTAATCAGTCTTCTGTTAATGATCATTGATGATAATGCAAAGGAAAAGGTTTTCCTTTTTTTTATTAGAAATGAAATTGCAGTAGGCATCCAAATACACATATGTCTTTAGTATTTGTTGTATCCTTGTATTAACATCATTTTAACAGAGGAGAAACTGAGACTTGGAAGAGGTTGAAGAACTTGTCCAGGGTCACACAGTAAGTAAATAGAGGAGCCAGGATTCAAACCCAGATCTGTGTAACTCCAAATTACTACCCTCTACTGGTATATATGAAGTACAGTGAAGATCTTAAAGGAAAGAACCCCTAAGTCTGCTTTAGGGTTGTCAGGAAATGCTTCAAAAATAGGTAACCTCTTTGCCTAAATGTCAGCTTTATCCCTGTGGGGAATTTAGGGTAAGGGAGTTTGTCACCTACCATACCTACGCACAGAAGACTAGACTGCTGTTTCCAAGTGTCATTAAGGTGAGGAGATTCTGTCTGTACATTGTGGAGCACCTGTATTAAAAAAGAGAAAAGCAGCCCCTGAGATCTGGGAACTAGTTTGACATTGATAGGTAGGCTTTGGTGTTTTCCTGTTGAGCATAAACAATCTCACAGAACACCAGCATCAGATAAACTGCCTTCACCGTGTGACCATCATGAAGTGAGACAAAATCAAGATTGCTTCATAATCTTGTCTAAGCACAGACAAAAACAGGATCACTATGCAAACCACAAAAACATCCAACATTCCTCTATCTTGGCTAAAATAAGTGACTGCTATTGCTCTACCAAATTGCAGCTTTAGCTTTACTGTAGCGTTCCTGCCTTATAGATAAGATTTGTTAAGAAAATCAATCCAGGCTGGGCACAGTGGCTCACACCTGTAATCCAGCACTCTGGGAGGCCAAGGCGGGAGGATCTATTGAGCTCAGGAGTTCAAGACCAGCCTGAGCAAGAGCGAGACCCCTGTCTCTACTAAAAATAGAAAAACTTAGCCGGGCGTGGTGGCAAGCACCTGTAGCCCCAGCTACTTGGGAGGCTGAGGCAAGAGAATAACTTGAGCCCAGGAGTTCGAGGTTGCTGTGAGCTGGGCTGATGCCACTGCACTCTAGCCCAGGCAACAGAGGGAGACTCTGTCTCAAAAAAAGAAAAAGAAAAAGAAAAGAAAATCAATCCAGAGCAAATCCTGCTCCTTTGAACATTGCCCAAATCAGCCAACGTGAGCCCAATGTTCATAAGTCCTTTCTGATGCTTCTTACTGAGATGCCCTGTGGTTCCCCATGGTGTATATTTTCCTTCATTGCAATGAACAGTAAACCCAGCTTGTTCAGCTATAGTTGATTCCTGTGGTCTTTGGCCAAAGGGCATTGACAGGACCATGGATTGTCCTCAGAGTGTCGTTTTGATAGGCAGATGAATGTAGTCTCTCCCCCACCCCCATACGTATACACTGTGATATCTAGATTACTGAGAAAGCATATTGTGGCACTGCCAAAAGTCTAGATAGAAAACATATGGTTGGTTGGTATTCTTGGTGGTCTCGTGGAAGTAACGGAGTTATTTTCTAGGCAATCAAGCTGATTTTGATATTACCGTGGTGCCTTCTTCTCATTTCCACCCTTCTCCCCTACAGGGTTTTGGCTGAGCAGGAACCTGCTCTACAGTTTAGTGCCACAGTTGGGGTCAATGCCTCTGTCACCACTCATCTGTCCTTCCTGCCCAAGGGAGAACAGCGCCGAACTCACCCTGTGGCCTGTTCCTTCTGCCCTGAGTTCTCCCATCACATTGAGTTTTCTTGTAATTTGGTAACTCAGCACTGTAGCGGAGAGGCCTGTTTCCTGGCAGAGCTATTGGAGTTTGCAGAAATTACTTTTGCTGTCTATCATGAAAATACCAAGTCAGGTGAGCACCAAATGACCCATCACAATCAGAATTAAAAGAGGCTCTGTTTTGAATGATGTAGCCCTTCCTGGGAGATAAATGTAAAATGTTTAGAGGTTAGGGGATCATAATCTCTGCAACTTATTTCTGAAGGGTATAGCAAAAAATAAAAATATGTATTATGTGTGAGAGAGAGTGTGTGTAGAGAGATAAAGCAAATGTGTCAAAATGTTAATGGATGAATCTAGGTGAAGGGGTGTGTAGGAGCTCATTATCATATTCTTGCAACTTTTCTATATGCCTGAAATTTTTTTAAAATAAAATGTTTAATTGAAAAATGATTTTGAGAGTTAGTTACTTCTAGGCTCAGGGAGAGAGAACCTCATTCTGTGCTTTGGGAAAAGAAGTCATGTGGTTCTGACGACCTTAGCAGTGATAAGAGAGAGGCGGCCAGTCTGACAGCCTTCCATTACCTGCACAACTGTATTGGTCTGTCTGCTACCAGCTATGCCGCTACCCATTGCGCTGCAGACCCGCTTGGCCAAAAGAGGCATCCTCAAACATCTGGAGCCTGAACCGGAGGAAGAGATCATTGCTGAGGACTATGATGATGATCCTGTGGACTATGAGGCCGCCCGGTTGGAGGGCCTTCCACCTAGCTGGTACAAGGTGTTCGACCCTTTCTGCGGGCTCCCTTACTTCTGGAATGTGGACACAGACCTCATGTCCTGGCTCTCCCCACATGACCCCAATTTCGTCGTTACCAAATCTGCCAAGAAGCTCAGGAGCAGTAATGCAGATGCTGAAGAGAAGTCGGACCGCAGCCATGACAAGTCAGACCGGGGCCACGACAAGTCTGACAGAGATCGAGAACGTGGCTATGACAAGGTGGACAGAGAGAGAGAGCGGGACAGGGAACGGGATCGGGACCGTGGATATGACAAGGTGGACGGGGAAGAGGGCAAAGAACGGCGCCACCATCGCCGGGAGGAGCTGGCTCCCTACCCTAAGAGCAAGAAGGTGGCAAGCCGAAAGGATGAAGAGTTAGACCCAATGGACCCCAGCTCATACTCAGACACGCCCCGGGGCACGTGGTCAACAGGACTCCCCAAGCGGAATGAGGCCAAGACTGGTGCTGACACAACAGCAGCTGGGCCCCTCTTCCAGCAGCGTCCCGACCCATCGCCGGGGGCTGTGCTCCAGGCCAACGCCGAGGCCTCCCGAACCAAGCAGCAAGACTGAATCTTTGCCCTCCCCCAGGCCTAGGGTTTTTAATAAAAAGCTTCTGTGATCATGTCCAAAAAAAAAAAATGATTTTGAGGGTTTTCAGGCTTTGATTGAAGTATGTAGGCAAGATAATCTCTAATGCATCTTTCCATACTGAAATTCAGTGAGTGTAAATGGAGGGTTATGTGGATATACTGTCAACACAAGCCCCTTGGTCAGTAGACCACCAAATAATTTTTCTTTCCTGTCTTGATTTAACAGCCAGTGATATAGCCAGTATCCAATCATGCAAAGATTATCTGCTCGGAGTAGTAAAAGTGCCAACAAAAGAGCTGCTGGCCAAGAGATCTGGTAAGGATCCTGGATTATCACTTTCTAATTCTAACGTTTCCCATTCATTTCCCTATAAGAGGTCATCTTGTCTGGCTCCCTTTCAAGATTTCCAAAAAGGAGAAACACAACCCCTTAACGCATGCTTCTGAACTCTCTTAGGTACCTCAAAGGTTTTCTCAAAAGCATTTTAAATCTTCTCCTAATCATTCCAGAGGTTTTCTAATAAAACAGAGGCTCAAAACATTGTACTAGCATCCTGCTCTAGCAGAGAGGGTGATGGTAATGGTGATCATGATGAAGAATATGGAAAATATCTATTATATTATGTAGCACTTTGTAAAATATTTTCTCAGATCTTGTTTTAGTCTCATGATAACCCTGCCTTGCAAAGTTATAGGATCTTTATTTTCCTTTGACAGATAACAAAACTTAGGCTAGAAGAGGTTAAGTGATTTGCTAAAACCACACACCTAGTGAACAGCAGGACTTAAAATCAAAACCCAACTCACCCATTATTTTTTGCTATACTCTCATCTCTCATTAAAGAAGGAATAAGGTGTAGGATAAAGGCCCAAAAGAATAGGTAGAACCACAAGACAGTCTAGAAATATTGAAAATTACTAGTAGCTGGGTTATCTTGACCAAATGATTTGAATCCTCCAAGCCCCAATTTTCTTATCTCATAGATGGATTCAGTTAATCCTGACAAATTCTACAAGGTAGAAATTGATGAAATTACACTTGATCTTAGCCAAAAGGCTGAGAAGCGATCGGAATTGATGAATTGATTATAAAAAGTACCTGACACATAGTAGGTATGCAGTAAATGTTAGTTTTCCTTTTCTTGCCCATCTTCTTCCCTAGGATTGCATAATCTAGTTTCTAGAATTCTATCACACATCTCCCAATTTAGTTGTGAATTAACATTTGAGCCAATACCCTAATAAACAGGTACTATGTACGTGCCTGCCAGAGAGAAGTCTGTACAGTTTGATATGGGATTCAGTCTCACTTCTGTCACTTACTATTTGTGATCTAGAACAAGTTATTTCATCTCTCACATCCATAGTTTCCTCATTTACATAAATGGAAATAATAAGATCTATTTCATAAGATTATTGAAACATTCAGTGAAATTATACATGTGAAAGATCCAACAGGGCTGAGCACATAGGACACCTCAGTTTCCTTCCTACTGTAACTTACTACAGTTTATCAGGGAACAGGCACCATCTGGGAAATCCCATCTCTAAATTAAAATTAACCCCGTTAGAGCCGGGCACAGTGGCTCATGCCTATAATTGCAGCACTTTGGGAGGCTGAGGCAGGAGGATTGCTTGAGGTCAAGAGTTCGAGACCTGCCTGAGCAACATAGCGAGACCCCCATCTCTACAAAAAATTGAAAAATTAGCCAGGCATGGTGGTGTCCACCTGTAGTCCCAGCTGCTCAGAAGGCTGCGACAGGAAAATCACTTGAGCCTGGGAATTCAAGATTGCAGTGAGCTATGATGATGCCATTGCACTCTACCTTGGGCAACAATGCAAGACCCTGTCTCAAAAAAATAAAGTAAAAAGTAAAGTGAAAAATAAAAATAAGTTAAATTTAATTATTCTAAAATGAACATTCTGTTATGTTTTCTCCTGCCAATAATCTCAATTATAGAATCACAGAGCTAAAGGGACCATCTAATCTAAGCAGTTCCCTTTTTCTTAATTTTAATAGATTTGGGGGGTACAAATGGTTTTTTGTTACATGGATGAATTGCATAGTGGAGAAGTTTAGGCTTTTAATATACCCATCACCTAAATAGTGCACATTGTACCCAATAGGTAATTTTTCATCCTAACCCCTCTTCTGAGTCTCCAATGTCCATTATGTTATTCTGTATGACCATGCATACCCATTACTTAGCTCCCACTTATAAGTGAGAATATATGATATTTCACCTTTTTTCCTGTGTTGCTTCACTTAGAATAATGGCCTCCAGTTCCATCCAAGTTGCTTCAAAAGACATTATTTCATTCATTTTAATAGCTGAGTAGTATTCTATGGTATACATATAGACTACATTTTCTTCATCCACTCTTCAGTTGGTGAGCACTTAGGTTTGTTCCCTATCTTTGCAATTGTGAATTGTGCTGCAGTAAGCATACAGATGCAAATATCTTTTTTATAAAATGACTTCTTTTCCCTTGGGTAGATCACCAGCAGTTCTTATATGCTCAAATGGTGTGAAATTTTGTGTCTGCATACATTTGTGCATTTTTCTGAGGATAATAGCTTTCATTAGAGCCAAAGAGGTCTGTGACCAAAATATGTTAAGAACCACTAGGTTGTAGGAAAACTAACACCCAGAGATGAGACGTTACTAAAGCTAAAGCCACAGGTTCTTAGACTGTCCAAGCTGAAAGGAACTTTAGAGATCAAAATTTTCAGCCTCCTCATTTTACAGACTAAAACTAGGAAGGTCCAGAAAAATTAAATGCCTGTCCAGAAGTCATAAAACCTTAAGTAACCTTTTAATCTCAAATTAAAATTTATATTAGGCCAGGTGCAGTGACTCATGCCTGTGATCCTAGCGCTCTGGGAGGCCAAGACAGGAGAATAATTTGAGTTTAGAAATTCAAGACCAACCTGAGCAAGAACAAGACCAAGACCCTGTCTGTACTAAAAATAGAAAAATTACCTGGGCATTGTGGTGTATGCCTGTAGTCCCAGCTACTCGGGAGGCTGAGGCAGTAGGATTGCTTGAGCCCAGGAGTTTGAGGTTGCTGTGAACTAGGCTGACACCACAGCACTCACCTGGGCAACAGAGTGAGACCATCTCAAAAAAAAAAAACTTTAAATAAATCTCAATAAGCCTAAATCTTTTCATTTTTAAAGCATAATTAATAAGACCTTTCTCAGAAAATTGTTGTAAATATTATTATATCATTCCACAATCTGTTTTACTTAATTCTGAAATCCAAAAAGCTCTGAAGATCAAAAATTTTTTATTAACTCATCGAGTAGCCAAATCTGACCTCAACTGACATGAAACTTAGGCAACCGCCTATTTATGTCTAGTTTTATTAAAACACACCATGCCCGTTAATTTACATGTCGTCACTGGCCACTTTGTTACTATAACAACATGAATGAATGGTTGCAACAGAGACCATATGGCCTACAAAGCCTAAAATATTTACTATCTGGCCTTTTATAGATAAGTTTGCAAACCCCTGACTTATATGACCCCTGATACATAATCTTATATCCAGTTTATGCACTATATTACCTTTCTAAAATCTGAAAAATTCTGAATTCAGAAACAAATCTGGCCTTAAGAGTTTCAGATAAGATAGTGTGAACCTATACTAGGCAGCATGTAGACTTTGGAGCTAGCTAGACCTGGGTTCAAATCCTAGCTCTACCAGTTGGTAGCTATAATAACTTGGACAGGTCACTGAGTTTCCATTTTCTCTTTTATAAGATGGGAATTGTTATCTCATTTTATCCTCAGAGCTTCACAGGGTTATCAGAGGAATTAAATGAAACAATATGTGCAGAATTTCTGACACATAGTGGATATTCAATAAAGAGTAGTTGTTATTCATTTGAAAATCTAGAGCCTGGTCCTTGGTATGTGTTTTCCAAGGCAGCTCCCTTGGTGGAAGATCTGGGTGCAGGCCCTAGATCTCTTGACAATTTTGTCCCATGCCTTTTCCATTGTGCTCATAGTACCATAAACATTTCACACCTTTAAAGCACTTGTCCTTCAAAGCTTTTTCTAAACCATTATCTCATTTGACATTCATAACAACTTTGTGTGGTAGACAAGATCAGCATTAATTTTCCCAATTGTTAGGTAAGGAAATGTAAGCTGAGAGAGATTAATGGTTTACCTAGAATAAACCACTAGTTTCGGGATGAGCCAAGCAGAAAACTCAGGTCTCCCAGCTCCTAGCCTTTGTTCTTCCTATCTAATCTCATTGCCTCTCAGTGGTCAGATGAAACACAAACTCTGTCACTGTGGGTATGTTTTCTGTTGTGTCTTGAGCCAAGATGATGGAGACTCTACGGTAGAGAGTAAATGTTTTTACTTTTAAGACAATAATCGAGAATCATTCTTTCCTCCCATAAGGGATCACAGGATGGTATCCTGTCATTTTACCAGAAGATGAGGGCCTATCTCATGGCTTGGAGCTCATGCAGAAGATTGTGGGTGGCCTGGAGCTTTCGGTTTCCTTCACCCATCCTGGAGATAGAGAGCGAGTGTTGGAAGCTGCTGAGCTATTGGGCTGGAGCTTTGAGAATAGCCTGAAGTATCTTGTCAAAGTGGATGAAGAGAAACAAGCCACTGTCACCATATCCACCCCAAGGCTGTGGCTGCCTATCCATTGCGTACTGCTTGCTGGCCACAACCACATTCATAAGAACACATACTGCTACCTTCGCTACAAGCTGTATGATCACGAAGCCTTTTGGACCCCTCTCAAGAAGCCTAAGGAATCTGCAAACAAAAAGCAGGTCATGGTTACTTTCAAAGCATCTAAAAGAGCAGAAGTCACTAGGGGCCCATCACTCCTTTGGTACTTTAGGGAAGAGAGGCTAGAGATCCAAGTGTGGCGAGCTTATGGCAATGACAGTGTGGAGAGACCACACCAGACGGACAGCTGGATTGGCTCAGCCTACGTGGACC